AGTAGACCTGCCCGGCATAAATCCAAATTGATTATGAGAAATCTTTGTAATGCGTCTTAACCTATGTTCAATTACCCTCTCCCATAACTTTAAAGTATGCCACATCAACTTAATTCCTCTATAATTTGCACACTCTTGTGCATCCCCTTTATTCTTAAAATAGAAATAAAAATACTCTTCATTCACTCCTCAGGCATCTTTTTAGTTTTTAAAATAATATTAAAGAGTTTAATAAGCCAAGAAACTCTCAAATCTCATAAATATTTCCACACTTCAATTGGAATATCATCAGGTCCTACAAACTTTCCACCATTGATTTTCTTTAAAACCTCCTCAACTTCTTTTTTACTAATGCGATGGTAATCGGAGAGGTTTATTTTGAAATTTAAACTACTCAGTTATAAACACAAATCTTCCAAGTAGTCTACCACAATAATGATTGTGTTGATATAAAATCTCAATGGATATTGACTCTCGGGACAAAATTCTCAAATTACAGATAAAAGCACTTAATATAGTCTGCCCCGAAGATAGCCACATCTACAAAAAAAGATATCAACCAAATGGATCTATTTCAAACTAGAGCATTCTAATTGTAAATACAAGTTCAAGTGATCTCATCCCGGTGAAAGCCATGTTGACAAAAAATCTAAAGCGAAGAGACTTTCATTTTTAAAAATGCCTTAAATTTTAATAAATATTATTTTGGGCTCAAATTCCAATGAAACATAAAAAACTAATAAAACTTATAAAATGTAAGGATATTCAAGGGGAATTCTACCACTGAAAGCTAAAAGTAAAAATTCATCCACCCACTACAATAATTTGTTAAAGGTAACAAATTAAAAATTTGACTAGGCTCACAAAAAATCAATATCACGTCAAGCATACCTCTCTAATCACTCTCAAAAGTTCACATGCCAGTAAAAACACGACATTATCCTCTGGTTGCGTAATTTTGCAAAAGAATGATAGCATTAAAATTTGCAGTTACACTAAAGCTCTCAAATAACATGGTTCACCCCTCAATGATGCCATCATACTACGGTCTCTGCCAAAGCCCATATGACAAACAAATGTCCACACCCAAGCGAGACACGCACAAGGGATGGGATTTTTCTCGTTCTGAGAGTTCAATAACAAAAAAAATCTTGCTATTGACTATTGTGGATCTTTTGGAACCCCTATTTTCATTATTTTGAGTTATTATTAGGATTTTATTTATGCCTTAAAATACATAAATTACTTAGGACCTGGTTTGAGCGGCTTTTATTTATTTTATGTTGATACATTTTTCTCTATTTTCTACCTAATGAGTCATTGCATCATCATGTGTTCTCATGGAATTGGTGTATCTGTAACTTCTTCGGGACTATGTGGTTGATCTCCCATGGTTTATGTGCCTCGTCAGTGTCGCCATTGGATGTTCTCCCTTCTGTGCTTCTTCAATCCCTTCCAATCTTCGTTAATTTCACATATTTTCTTCCTCTTGCTATTCCACAACCTTCCCCTGTTAGATTTGATCCTTAAACACCTTTTAGAAGTACTAGAACGGTATCATTTTGTATATGATCCAAAACTTAAGTTTATTTCCTAACTTTTCTATCTCCACCAAAATACATTCCTGCACCCATCACCTAAACCGAAACCCTGTTCTAACAAAAAACTTTAAAATGAGAAAATAAGTCACCATACTGCCAAAGAGAAACCCTTAAAAAGATGTTCAAGAGCTTATAATAAAGGATATGCAGTGGAAAATCTTTCAATTACAATGGAGGCTCTTTGATTTTAGTAAAAGAGAATATGAGAAAGTCACCCACAGCAATAACAGTGACAACTCTCATGAAGAAGATTATAAAAACCCTTTTCACCAAGATGCCTCAAGTGA